GCGTAAACCAAATCCGCATAAATCGAGACTATACTGTATAAATAATTAACATAGATAAACAGTGTGGTTATAGGTATCACTGTAACGTGTCATACTCTGTCCTGATGCTTAGGTTGTGTTACAGTTAGTCCATATATGGTTACTGTGTTTCTTGTATATTTTGGTTTCTTTTGTTATATTCTTTGTTTAATAAAACCTAGAAATGTGAAACAGATTTTACTTCACATCTCACACTGTGCGAAGAAAGGTTGAAGTGCAGTATGATGAGGGATATGTTTGTTTACATCGGGTGGCGCTCACGGTAAAGAAGGGTCGAGCAAAAATGAGTGTGTTGGCTAATAATATTGTAAACCTACAACATAAAAAATTTGCAATAGTTACTTACCTCACCTAGGTTTTAAACATTTCTATTTCTTTATCAGCCAGTTGAAAATCCTCGGTTAACAAGATTTCGGTTAACGAGTTACCTCCCATAAGATTCTTAACTTCGGTTAACGAGCAATCTCTCGATTAACGAGTTTCTTACGAGCCTCAACATGTTTTCGCTTGCACTTGGCGGTCAACCAGCTGTAGTATTAGTCTGCCAATACAGTAATCGGTTCTAGGGCTTAAATTCCTTACTATTTTAGTAAATATCAAGAAGTTTATACTATTCAAAAAATTTAAAAGTTTGATATTAAATTTTTTAGTCATTTTAACAATTATTGAACATAATTGAAGGTAAGGTCACTAGTTTCATGCGCACCATCCAGCCTGCCCACACACCATACAGGCGTTAGTCTCTCTGTCTTTTCAGTGGAGGTAACATCTTGCTTGAGACTCTAACTAAATACTTTTTTCTGTGTTTCCAAGCAAATTATTGGTTATTTTGACATTTCTTTTAAATATTGATAATATATAATGCAGTGCAGTGTTATTTAAAAGAAAATAATCTTGAATTACACCAAGTTTAAAATTAAAATATCATGTGTTTAGATTTTTTGAATCCAGCATGGGGCCTAAGAGATTAAGAAAAGCGATTTCAATCCAAACCAAGCAGGAAATTAAAAAAAAACATTACTTTTTTTTACTTTTATCCTCTTCGCCACTGATCGGCTTGTTAGCCGCTTGGGCGATCGGTCACGTCTCTTTTCATTTATATTCTTCACCAAAAGGTCGGCTCGCTAGCCGCCCGGGCGATCGGTCACGTCTGTCACGCACTGTTGGCAAATACTGGGCATGCACCGGCTCCTCAATGTACCTGAACCCGCTCCAGTGTTGGTCAAGTCTTCTCTTGAAAGAGCTCACACTCGGTGCCGTCACAACACTCTCTGGTAGATTGTTCCAAGAGTTTACAACCCTCACTCCGAAAAAGTTTGCCCTCACGGTTTTCTGGACTTGCGGCTTCTTCAATCTTGAGCTGTGACCCCTTGTGGGGCGAGCGTCCGCCAGCTCCAAGTAAGGACACTCAACTGAGTAGTGCCCCCTGAGATGCTTATACACCTCAACTAGGTCCCCCCTTGCCCGTCTGTAGTATAAGCTAGGCAAGTTCAGGCGCTCCAATCTCTCAGGGTAGCTGAGGTGCCGAAGTGCAGGCACCAGTTTGGTGGCCCTCCTTTGAACATTACCAACTGACAGTCCCTAGCATATCTCGGGGAACAGATGGGGTGACACTACTCCAGATGGGGAAGCACACTCCTGAGGATCGTCACGAGGGACGGACCGTCTAGATATCTGAACGACCTTCTTATAAGACCCAATAATTTATTTGCCTGATTTACCTTCTTCTCACAATGGCCCGAGAACTTCAGTTCATTGTCAACATTCACACCTAGGTCCTTCTCGCACACAGTCTCAACTAGTGCATTTTCTTCATCCCGTTGGGACATATGGTATGCCTCCTTACCGTTGGTACGCCCCAGGTGCATCCTCTTACACTTCGTGACATTGAATCTCAGCAGCCATTTCTTCGACCATTCCTGGAGCCCACAGAGGTCCTTCAGCAGCTCTTCACAGTCCGCTTGGTTCTTAATTTCCCGAAATAACTTGCCATCATCGGCAAACATTTGTATGGAGGAGTGTACAACGTCAAGCATGTCATTTATGAAACAAACAAACAACAGCAGGCCCAATACACTGCCCTGTGGTACCCCACTTGTTACAGGTACAGATGGCGATTTCGTGCCATTAATCACCACACACTGCTTGCGGTCATGTAGAAGGTCTTCTATCCACGCTAGGACATTTCCCCAAATTCCGTACCCTTCCAGTTTGATTTTCAGCCTTTCGTCGGGTACACTGTCGAAAGCCTTGGCAAAATCTAGGTAAATATTGTCGATATTACCACCCCGTTCTAGAATATGGGTCCAAATATCCAATACCTTGAGCAATTGTGTTAAGCAAGAGCGCCTTGGCATAAAACCGTGTTGGCAATCTTTTACAAGGTTGTTTCGGAGTAGATGTTCCATCGCAGCATCTCTGATAATACTCTCAAGTACTTTACATATTATGCTGGTCAGGCTCACCGGTCTATAGTTGTTCGTGGAGTGACTATCGCCCTTCTTGAAGATAGGACTCACATGAAGAAGGCATTAGAACAAATGCGCTATGCAAAGAAAATGGCATGTCGACATCAACTGTGTCGATAATTCTTGCACAGAAAGACAAATTTAAAGAAGTGAAAATGAGAGACAAAACTACCAGTGTGTTTAAATGTAGATCCCTAATTGCAGAAACTGAGAGGTTACTTCTCATCTGGATTAGGGAAAAACAGATGAAAGGTGATTCAGTTTCTACTGAATGTATTTGTTAAAGAGCCAGGGAGATATATGAACATATAAAGACAGATCAACCTGGTTCTTCAGGCACAGAATTTGAAGATTTTCGAACCAGCAAGGGCTGGTTCAAAAAATTTAAGAAAAGAAGTGAAATTTTTAATGTAGTTCGGTATGCTGAAGCTACTAGTGCTGATAAGGAAGGGGCAGCAAAAGTTTTTAGTGGAGTTTAAAGAACTGATGGAAGAAGAAAATTACCTTCCACAGCAAGTGTTCAATGTGGACGAAAGTGGGCTGTTCTGGAAAAAGATGCCCATAAGAACAGTCATCACCTCTTTACCTGGGCATAAACCCATGAAAGACCATCTCACTCTATTGCTTGGTCCCGATGCTTCAGGGGATTTCCGACTGAAGCCTTTGCTTATCTACCACTCTGAAAACCCCAGGGTGTTCAAGCAACAGAAAGTGGTAAGAGCAAAGCTTGGAGTTTATTGGAAGTCCAACCGTAAGGCATGGGTGACAAGACAGCTCTTTAATGAATGGGCTGTTGAGGTGTTTTGCCCTTCTGTCAAGAGCTACCGAACCACCAATAAACTCCCTTTAAAGGCTCTTCTCTTTAAGGATAATGCCCCTGGTCATGTCCCTGAACTTGCCAGAACTTTGGAGTCTCAATTTGACTTTGTGAAAGTGTTGTTTTTGCCTCCCAACACTACATCAATCATACAACCAATGGACCAGAATGTGATCAGCAACTTCAAGAAGCTGTACATGACGAAAATGTTTAGGAGGTGTTATCAGGCAACTTCCACTGATCCTAATCTAACACTGTCACAGTTCTGGAAGACACAATTCAACATCCTGGAGGCTGTAAAATTGATTGTGTCATCATGGCAAGAAGTCTCCACTAGATCCCTCAATTCTTCATGGAAAGCACTGTGGCCATCAGTAGTCCATGATTTTGAGGGATTTGAGGAAGAAACAGAGTTGGACCAGGAGATTGTGTCCATTGGTCAGTCATTGGGCTTTGAAGTGTAGGAGGAGGATGTGGAAGAGCTTATGATGTCTCATGAGGAGGAACTTACTCCTGAAGACTTGAAGCAACTGGATGAGATGGTGAGGAGGAAAAAGAAAGTGATGACCATATGTCAACTAAAGAGTTGAAAGATGTTATTTACTACTGGGAGAAGTTAAGGAAACTGGCTTCAAAGCACCCAGATATGGACAAAACTGAACTAACTTTGTCATGTTGAGGACACAATGGTCTCCGTCTTTAAACATAAGTTAATGATGAGGAAGAAAGATGCCCCACAGACCACAATTGACACTTTCTTCAGTAAAAGGCAGAGGGAACAAGATGCTAGCCCTCAGCCTTCCACTTCAAGGAGGAGAGAGGATGATGCTAGACCCTCAGCCTTCCACTTGAAGAAGGAAAGAGGATGTTCATGGTGGAGAATCTGTCAGTCCAGAGGTTCCTGACATTTTCACGGAAGGTGACTCACCTTCCAAGAAGCAGTAAAATGCTTCTCCTCCACCTCCACTTCCTTCTCTTCTCCCTTCTCCTCCTCCACCTCCACTTCCTTCTCTTCTCCCTTCTCCTCCTCCACCTCCCACTTCAAATTCACAACAGCATCATCATCCAGGAGATTACTACATACACACCTCAAAGTATGTGTACATTTCTACCTTTTTTGTTGAATTTAGGCAATTTTTGGTGAGTTGGAACCAATTACCCAAAAACCCATCGAAACAATGGTTTCGGTTTACGAGCAACCTGCTGGAACGGATTGTGCTAGTTAACCGAGGGACCACTGTATTTGCTTTTGATATCTTTCTTTGATGCTTTGCCAGGATCTATTCAGGACTGGCACAGTAGCAACCATTATCACCCACATAGTCTTACCTTTGACCTGGTAAAGATGGGGGCATTAAAGACATAAATACAGGATATATGAAATATATATATATATATATATATATATATATATATATATATATATATATATATATATATATATATATATATATATATATATATATATATATATATATATATATATATATATATATATATATAAGGAGAAATACCTAACAGTATATATATATATTCTGATAACCACAACCAGTCAGAATTCTACTTATTGGGCTTTTTGAGTTACAGTGGATACTTGTTTTGGAACGTAACCTAATTAAGTTCATTATAATGTCACCTCTCATTTATTTAATCAAAATGAAGAAAGTAAATGTTACCTTTTCTGTGCCCTTTAAACCTTTTCACGGCCTCCTCCGAGAGGCCGTAAGTGTCGATGCGCGGAAGAATACGCTTTTGAAAGCGCTCTTTTAATCCGTACATGGTACGATCTGCAATAAATTTTTTTTTAAGATTTAATGAACAGGACAGAAAATGATGAGTGAGTCTAAGTTTGACTAGTACCCAACATTAAGAGGAGAATGGGTTATAAACCGTTTTTCAGACCACATCAACATTGCCCCCTGTAATAAAGTTATGCTACACTTGAACCCTTGTTGTGTGTGTCCGTACATATGTTATGTTTTTATCATTGGGTTTTGTTTTGTTTGGGGTTTTATTATTTTAATAATTTTCTTTATTCCATACACTTACGAGAACATTCTTTTCTTCTCTTCCAGATGCCATACTTCCCTTGGTCAGTTATATAAACAAAAAAGCCTAGAAAAAGGTCGACTCTAGTCTTCTTTCACCACACCCCAAGTTTACTTCACTTGATGATTACTGTACTTGCCCCTAATGCTACCTGAAAAAGTTAGGTTAGGTGAGGTCAATGTTTAACCCTTTCACCGCGTGGCCCGACTTTATTCACATTTCGATTTTTGTCCTTCACCGCATAAATCGACTTAGTCCACATTCATAAAACAAATTTCAGTTAACACATAACTTGACTACAGTCCTTTGGGATTTGAATTATGGGCCGGCCCAGTAGATGCTACTGTAGTGGCTCCTCTCCCCTGCAACTCCCAACTGAGCTCCGGCCGCGCACCTACCAGCCAATCAGCGTACAGCCAGCTACGCCGAGAGACTAGGTCTATGCAGTGGACATTGGGGTACGATCGCTGACCTAGTCTCAACCTTCAACCTCCAGCTCAGGATCAGAGCGTTTCACACCTTACGCTTAAGCCGCTGTGATTGGCCCTCTCGCTACGCTCACCCCAAATCCTGATCCTCGTAAATTGTATAAATACGGCCATGCCTGGCCAGGGAGACCATTCTACACTCGGCTACCGGACCAGCAACATCTCTCACAGCTCCTCACCACCCAGCTTCCTCAGAAACCTCCTCGCCCTACAAGACCTCTGAGCAAGCTTCTTCTCACCTAGTCACTCCTAAGCACTGCGCTGTACAACAATATATATATACAGAAAGCGCATTGTGAGTTTCTATTCTACCTCATTCCTGAGTGTGAGATATCTACATGTACGTACGTTTGTGTGCCCATACCAAGATAACTGACAACTGGCCACATACAGTACGCTACATTACCACCTCGCGGTGACTGGAGCTAGCTAAAGCTCCTGCCATCAAAACACTATAGTACAGGTAAAGTGATTCCTCGGTTAACGAGCGCCTCGGTTAAGCGAGTTACCTCCCACAAGATTCTTAACTTCCGTTAACGAGCAATCCCTCAATTAATGCGTTTCTTACACGCCGACCTCAACAAGTTTTCGCTTGCACTTGGCGGTCAACCAGCTGTAGTATTAGTCTGCCAATACAGTAATCGGTTCTAGGGCTTAAATTCCTTACTATTTTAGTAAATATCAAGAAGTTTATACTATTCAATAATTTTAAAAGTTTAATATTCAATTTTTTAGTCATTTTAACAATTATTGAACATAATTGAAAGTAAAGTCACTAGTTTGTGGCGCGCCATCCAGCCTTTTAACACACCAAATAAGCGTTAGTCTCTCTCTGTTTTCAGTGGAGGTAACATCTTGCTTGAGAGACTCTTCAACTAAATGCTTTTTTTCTGTGTTTCCAAGCAACACAACGATCCACGGCGGCCATTTCCTATGGTCACTAACACGAGCACTTAGGGGCACGTCCTTCTCCAAGCTACTGTAGGTCAGGTAGCATCTTAAGTCCATCAAGTGATACACGGGAGTGTATCACTTTCTCAGTTCACACCAGCACTACTTTTTCTCTGTGCTCTTATTTGCATTGTGTGTTTATCAAGTACCCTTTTAGTGTTAAACGCTGTTTCCTCCATCAAGCATGTCTGGAAAAGGTCCATCTGCCTCCTCTGGGGCGTCTAAAGCTAAAAAGGCACAAAAAACAATCACAATGGATGTGAAATTAAATGTGATCAACCACCCTCAGAGAGGAGAGCGTGTGTCGAAGGTTGGCCGCATGCTTGGTTTAATTGAGAGCACTGTTCGTACCCTGTGCGGTAGGCAGTAGGTATTAGGCAGCTACCAAACAGGGAAAGATATTGGAAGCATAATGTGGTCTATGGTAGACCCTACTGCTATATGGCATCACAAAAATTGTGACCAGGTTGCTGATCTAACTTTCTGCCTCATTTACATACAATTGCAGGGTCTCAATTGTTTCTCTTACTGTTGACAAAACACACATATATTGTTTTTCACTTTTGATCTTTTTTTCATTTTTGTATTTCTTTATGGTTCTTTATTATTATTATTATTATTACATTTTTGCCCCCCAGGCCACGATGTGGATCAGTGACCTGTGCTTGGGTGGCCTAATCCCAAGAAAAAAATAAAATACCCCCTAATCTGTAACATTTACATGTATTCTTTTAGGAAAATGATGTTTAATTTGTGTGATTTTTAATTAAGCGGTGGTTTTCAAGAACACAACCTCGTATAAAAGAGAGGTGGGTGCACTTATCAATCCCTGTAAATGGCAAAATATTAAATGATCTAATTATGACACAAAGATTGCAAAAGGATTTATATACAGGTATTTTAATTACTCACTTTGTAAAACACCTGCATTCTGCATGGTGCGCCACATTAACAGGCCACCCACAGCTGTGTGCAGCCGATGTTTATCAATCCACTTTAATATCACCTCATCCTCGAAACGAGTATAAGGTTTATATGGCCTGTGAAAGACAAATGAATGTATTACCCGCCTAATAGTACAAAAAGAAACAAAATTGTTTATTCATATTTAAAACTAATCAAGTTAAAATCAACACCAAAACCTTTAAGCTGGTAGAATGTCTATCAGATTTCTTTTACACTATTCCAAGCCTTTTTTCCACTGACAGCAAAGTGGCCAGTGTCAAGAGAAAACACTCACACATTATCACTGCTGTAAATGATGTAGCTGTCAGGGTACTTCACTTCAACAACAAGCCAATTCTGGTTTACTGTCACTTCACACAACCTGCATCACAAACCACCACCAGCATACCCTTCCCCAACCACCACTTGATGCCAATGCTCTCCATCAACTTAATTATTTTGTCTGAATAACAAAGACTAAGGTAGAAAACTCAAATACCTCATAGTATTTAAATGCTACAGAGCAAACATTATCACACTACACTATTGGTAACTTTGTTTGGTTAAACATAAAGTATTACTATATTACATAAACCGACATCCAACTTACTTGATTTTTCTTGGGGATTTTTCATTTCTTTTTTGATCTCCTAGTTTACTTCCAACTGTGGGAAGACAGTACTCCTCTTCACTCTGAAAATCACTCATGTCATGCATGTCATATAGTTTTGTTAGTTTCTTTCTCTTCTCCAGAGAAGCTGCTCTCTGTAACACAAATTATCATAAATTATGCTGCTGATTGTATCAAGAGTTAAAGCGAGCATTAAACTGATATTTATTACTTGTACTGGACAATGAAGTGTGGGACAGAATGTTGTAGTAAATACCCTTCTAAGTCTCCTCAATGTGCTCTACCTACTAACTCTACTCAAAGCTTCTTTTGATGTAAAAATTATAAATATAAACATACAGTAAAACCCTAGTAAGGCACACCCCACTAAGCCGAATATCACTTAAGCAAGCCAAAATCTGCCCAAAAATAATTCACAAATTTAAATATGAAATTAAAAAATTAACAAGCAACGCCCTCGATAGCATCCCTTCAGCTCTCTCACTCTGTCGATAGTGTTTCATTGCTATTTAGACATGTTGAACTTCATTTTCAAACTTATTTGACATTGCCAGTAATGAGGTTACATTGTAAGTAGAAGTAGCATACACATTTTTGCATTTTATTTAAAAATTAATACAATAACCATGGCCCCTAAGAAGGTGTTTGGTATCCATTAGGGTGGTGAGAAGGTTAAGTCTAAGACCTTATCAGTGACCAAAAAGTTAAAGGTGATTGAAAAACTAGAAAAGGGTGCTGTTCCCTCGCAAATATGTGGTGAATACAGAATTTCAAAAGTTGGTGTCGGATATACGAAAATACAGCTCATCCCTGACTTACGTCCATCCGCACTTATGACCTGCCTCAGTCGTACCAAAATTTGGTCAAATTACGTATTCTCGAGTCCCAAAGTCAGGACGCAGACAAAATTTTCATCTGTAATTCACTTTAAAATGGCTGGCAAGCTTAAAAGTGAGTGTTTTGTGGTGCTGAGAAGAAAAAGAAACCCCCATTTTCGATTTTCTATGTATTATTTAAGCATTTCCGATTTAAGACCATTTCAACTTACGACCTGGATGTCGGTCCCTAACCCCGTCGTAAGTCAGGAAGCAGCTGTACAAAGATAAGTTGCACAAATATGCTATGAAATTTAATGTGGACCAGGAAAAATCTGGCATTAGAAGAATGAAGGAGGTTGGGAATGAGGATTTGGAACAGGCAGTGTATAAAAGTTCGTACAGCAACGTGAGAGTGGAATACAGTGACCCCTCAGTTAACGAACTCAATCCGTTCCAGAAGGTCGTTCGTTAACCAAAAAATTCGTTAACCGAAACCATTGTTTCAATGGGTTTTTGGGTAATTGGTTCCAGCTCACCGAAAATTTCCTAAATTCAACAAAAATTGTAGAAAAGTTCACTTACTTTGAGGTGTGTATGTAGAAGGCTCCTGGATGATGATGATGGGAATTAGAATGGGGGTGGAGGAGAAGGAAGAAGAGAAGGCATTGGGGTGGAAGAGAAAATTTTAAAATTATTGAATAGTATAAACTTCTTGATATTTACTAAAATAGTAAGGAATTTAAGCCCTAGAACCGATTAATGTATTGGCGGACTGATACTTAAGATGGTTGCCCGGTCAGTGCAAGCAAAAACATGTTGAGGTCGGTTCGTAAGAAATTCGTTAACCGAATTTTTGTTCGTTAACCGAATTGAAGATCCATATGGAAGGCAGTTCGCTAACCGAAATTTCGTTAACCGAGGCGTTCGTTAAACGAGGGGTCACTGTAGCAGCAGCCACAAGTGCGGAAATCCAGGTGCCACAATATTGTGAGAAAAAAATTGTGGTGAGAGGCTGCGTGCTGATATTCGCACTGTGAAGCCATTTAGGGAAAAATTTAAGGACTTAATGGATGCCAAAAACTTTCAATTATGCCAACTGTACAATGCAGATAAAACTGGACTCTTCTGGAGAGCTTTACCAAAGAATATACAAGCCTTCAGAAGCAAAAAGAGTGTGCCCAGTAAGAAACTTTCAAAAGAGCAGTGTCTGCAAATGCCAATGAGAGCCATATGCTTACACATGTGGTAGTGGGGAAGAGCAAGAAGCCTCGTGCAGTCAAGGACATTATGCACAGGCTCCCAGTCCACTACTATAACTCCCAAAATGCATGGTATACAGTACCCATAACCTCAGACTGGTTTATCATACATGCTGTGGTGGAGATCAGGCATAAGCAGGTGGAAGATCTGAAAATCCCTGCTGATGAAGTGAAGGCTATCATCCTCTTGGATAATGCTCCCTCACATCACAACATTGAAAAACTGTGTAGCAGGGATGGAAGGATCAGGTGCCAGGCATTGATACCCAACACCACCTCTGCCATACAGCCAATGGATCAAGGTGTTATTTATGCTACAAAATGGCTGTACAAACGCAAAATTTTGGATGAGGTGAAGGTGGTGGAAGAGACAAGCGAGGATCAGGTGGAGGACACAGGAAGGCAGAGGACCTTCAGAAATCTTAAGTTATACAACTTCAGGTCCAGCTCTCACAATTTTGCTGCTTCTGCCAAAGAAGTCAAGGCAACAATCCTCATCAAATCCTGGGAGAAGCTGCTATAAGACATTGATGAGAAGCATGATTTTGAGGGCTTCACATCAGAAGAATAGCTCAGAACCCTTCTCTGAGAAGAGAAGGATGCTACAGTTGAGGATGTGGAGGCTTGGCTGGAGGTTGATGAAAATGATCCTGAATACTGTACAGTACCACAATTTGACAGAAGAGATTGTGGACCCTGTACATGGGGGCTGCAGATGACTTTGATGGTGATGAACAGGAAGATGAACTACCAAAAATAAAAATGGCAGAAGCTAGGGACTGCCTGGACACCCTTAGAGAATTTGCCAATCAAACAAAAATAAAAAAATTGGGGCCTATTACGATCACTTAAGGTACAGGAGGGAACGTGTCTTACAGGAGCAAAGAAGGAAGATCACTCAAAGATTGACACTTTTTCAAGCCAAGACCCTCCAGCAGTGCCTCCTTGTTGCACTAGTTTTTTGTTGATTTTTTTTTGTTTAAGGTGGACAACCTGTTATCCAGGACACCCATTCCCCCCATTTAGCCCTCCTAAGCGAGGTTTTACTGTACTGTATACATTTTATTAATCTTTGAGGCCTTCTCCTGTTATACAGCATGGTGGCCAGAACCATGAGCAGCTGCAACTATTTCTCCTACCTGCCAGTCAAGAGGTAGCAGTCGTACATCAACCTTTGTCGTTGTCATAATGACATGGCTAGTCTGTTAAAACCTAATAATTCATATTACGCTCCACGCCCACAAAACCTGAAACCTTTTGAGTCTCCCAGTTGAAACATTCGTTCTCTAACCACTTCAGGAGATCTGAGTCCTCCGTTTTCCATTCTGCATTACGAGAGAAACTCAAGTATACATAAATTCTGCACAGGGTGTTCATGCATTTGAATTGGTACAACACCCTTACTTTGCATCAACTTAGAGATATCTGATTGCAGATGAAGCATTCAAGATCCATTGTGACTGATGTTGAAAGCTTCAATTGTATTTACTGTTAGCGTAATTGTCAATATAAGTCAGGGTAGAGTCGGCAGTGAGAGTGAGGTATCATTGACGTCGGCCCTAGAGATGCCAGTGATTGTTGACCGAGGCTGAAGTCACCTCTTTTTCACATATGAACATCAGAGAATTTGATGTTCATGGTGAAATTGTTGTAAGGATGTTAATTACGAAAGTAATTAATTAACCTGAAGGGAACTGTCAGACCAGCTATCTTTGAGAATTTAACGGGTGTAATCGGACACTACGTCTTAGGCTCCAACCACCAAGGACTGCCATCCTGAACCTTGAAATCAATTTAATTCTTGTCTTTGACAGCTCAGTCAGAGCATAGATTGAAAAGGAAATCTTAGGAAATGGAAATGAGTTCGTAGTCTTAGTTTCAAACGTGAACGTGTACAGTAACGTAGTACATTTAAATAGTTGGGGTGAGTGGAATTCGAGCTGAGCGGAGGAGGAGGAGTGAGGAGCACCGACGCTCTCGGGCGTCAGTCCAGCGTCTGAAACCTCTCCACCCACAGGTAATGTCTAGCTCCATGTTACACCTCGCCACATTAAGTGATTTTGACTTAGTTAATAGTTTGAATATGCAAGTGATACAGTAACGTAACTGATGTGTTTTAATTGAAGTATTCTTATGCCCCACTCTGGTAAAGCGAACCAGATCATTGGGACCCCACCCACCAAGGTGGCTCCCAGTGAGGGGGACCTTACAGAGAATGAATTCACCCCAGAAGTGACAAGACTTAGCTATACTTTTTCTACCCGAAACCAAATTTAGCACACAATAGCCTCAATAATTGTAAGTGCTGACTAGTTACTCAAAGTTCTAATGAGACCTTTCAGATTTTTGGATAACAGCTGTCAAAGTCCCCTTCATGAGACAGATTGTACAGTGGTAGGAAAAGTAATCCATATATCCAAAAGGAGTATCAGATCAACCCTGGGGTACATTAAAGGGGGCTGATGACTTATAACAACCACAAGAAAGCTGCCACATATTAAAGTTACTTGACTAAAAGTAGACTACAGAAAATGTCTTACCTTTGTAGTTCTGGTAGGCTTCACACTTGAGGCTCCTTGAAGGACATGATTCCCATCAGGATTTGTTGATATTGACCTTTGGATCACTATTTTACTTTGCGGTGAGCTCATGTCACAAGCAAATCTTGATCTTTTCTTATTTTTCAATGGTTGGAACCGTTTTCGTGGCTGGCGATTTTTTTCTTCTGGTGATGTTGAATACTGTTCATGTAAGGCTCTTTTAGGGTATTTAACTGATCTATGCTTGGTTTTGGACTGGCCAGTTGCCATATATGAAATTTGCCTTTCTTCAGGGCTACTATCTACATCTGAAGAGTCTTTTTGTATGGGAGCCTCAGTGTTGTCATCTTTCAAGGGCGAGGCATATTCTTCAATACTTGTACTTTCCCCCGATTCACTTGCATCCTCCAAGTTTTCTACATTGCCCAAATCTCGTGTTTCTGGTATAATAGTTATAAGTTCATCATTTTTTGGTTCTCTTTGTGTGTGATCCTGCAGTTCTGAGGCCTGTGTTTCTTCACAAACATCCACCCTTGAATCCGCCGACTCTAGTTCAAGCTTCCGTTGTACCATCCCCTCCTCTTCTGAATCACTTTCTGTGCATAAATCCGTTGACTCGTCTTCCCGATAATCTACATCTAAGGGTTGGAAACCTTCAGGCATTGCATTTTCACATCTTCCTGTACCATGTATAAATATTGGCAAGTTTACAGGAACTGGTTCTGAACTATTCAAACATTTTTGTCTTCCTGGAAAAATTACATGGGGCTCCTGTCTCTCTTCTACATTTATAAACTTAACTCCAGTGCTTCTAGTGCAAAGGTCCATGTACCTGGAATAACAAAGGAGAACATATAACATACACAACCTCCACAAAGTAACAGCAACACTGTACAGTACTTGTCAACTCAGTACAACTACTGCAGCACCTTTTTCAAAACTGTGACCCTAAGTTTTGTCCAAGTGTAAATAGGCATCTGATGACATTGCTGGTTATTCTTGGCTGAACTGTTTACTAATGTTTGTAACTTTGTACATCTGGGTGGTTTTGAAATGATGGAATTTGAATTGAAGTGAAAAAAGTATTGTCTCAAGAATTGTTTATTACTTTATAATGCATTCTGTTCTTCACTGTTTGGCTTTCTATTGTACTACAGTACTCAAGTATATCCTTTGTTTTTAGTATAAGAGCATTAAATATGTCTTCAATGTTTAATTCCTTAGAAAAGCTTTAAATACTCTAAATGTTTCACTAAATATGTTTTCAATTATCAATCAGTTAAGAAAGTCTAAACTGGCTAAAAACATTTATGTACTACATATTGGATTCGTGACACTCACGGGTTGGCTCCACAAGACTCGGGTCAACCATAATTTAGTATTGTAAGTGTTTGAAAAAATAGAATTAAATGTTCAAATAAGAAAAAAGTGGTGTCTTAAGGAATTCATTAGTGAATGTTTTGGTGCTGTAGTACCCTGTTCTAGCTCTCTCTCTCTCTCCCCTTCCAACATGCATCCCTCATCATTTACATGCTTCCATTCAATGGCTTGTATCAGGATTCATTTAGCACAAATTTGCCTGGCACAAAACTTTTTATGAACCTTTCTCTCACATCAAGTGTGGACTACCCGTAATTATGTGGTACTGTACAGTACAGTTGAGTCTGAATTTACGCGGTTTTGGTTTACGTGTTTGGTCATTTACAAGGTGCCTTGCCAGAATTGAAATGCTTGATTTACGAGGTAAATTTGGTCATTTACGCGAAGAGCATCTGGCAGTCCTGCCTTGCCGCGCCAATTTTGGATTCAAACCTCCTGCCATCTCGCCATGCTTGGGTAAGCGGCGCGAGTAAGGTTGCGCAGTGTATGTCTCTGTTGCGTTATCGGTGACGTCATATGACGTATCGGACTGTGATTGGGCCACGCATCCTTACCTCCCTCCGCCGCCAGCTATGATTGGTTTAATGTAATATGACGTGCCCTGTCACGGGAGGGAAGAAGCCGCTTGACCTAGCCGCGTCAGTTGCTCTCCTCCTAGTCACTCTGTGTAAACTGTGTTCTATTGTGCCCGATAATCTCGTAAGAATGGCTTCCACTGGACCCCCACCACCACAGAAAAATCTTGCATTACCTGGACCCAGCCGCCCTAAGCCAAAGAAGATACGACGTGCCCTAAGTTACGAAATGAAGTACAAAATCATACAAGATTTAGAAAAATGAACGACACAGGTTGATTTGGCGCGCCAGCATGGCGTGAACGAATCTACGATCAGGACGATCAAGAAGGATGCAGCTAAGATAAAAGAACACATGAACATCACAAAGTATGCAGGTGCTTCAATGGTGAAGTACTGCCAGAACAAGGTGCTGCTCAAGACGGAGAATTTAATTGTGAGCTACTTGATTCGTTAGGCAAGACGGAACATGGCGGTGGACACGTGGTCGGTTCAAGAGTACGCATGTAAACTGTACGTAGCAGTGGCACGTAAGATGGGAATTGCAGAGCACAAACCCTTCAATGCTTCCTCTGGATGACTGCAAGGGTTTAAGAAGAGGAACAAGATCACCAACAGCTAAGGTATTTTTGAGGCGCAAGGCTGCTAGCAAAAAAGTGTATGGGTATAAGCTTTTTGTCATAAAATCTGCTCTAATTGTGTTAGAGAAATATATTTTGTACCGTTGCATACATGGAAATGCATTCTTGATGACGTTATTTTTTACCTATGATATACAGTATATACAATATATTATATGAAGTGTACAGGTATTAATGGTATTTTATGAAAATACCATTACCACCAGAAGAGGCTATTCGAATTCGTCCATTTTTTCCCACAGATATTCTTGTCACCTTACCAATGTACAATATTAAGTACAGGCACTGTATTTTTAAAAGGTAATAGCTTTTTATTTCAATTATGCCCCCCCCCCCCCTATTACGATCATAAATCACCCACAGTGGGCAGGGCATGAACGATGAGGGAAATTGCAGGGCAAAACAGTGAAAAACTGTGACTGTGATCTCCTGTAATAATCTGGTTGATGGTGACGTTGGTTAGGTTAGATTTGGTCTGGTTTGGTTTGGTTAGGTTAGCTGTACCTAAGATTCACTCATGGAATGGGGGGCAATTGTCCCATGGGGAGGGGGGGGGGGGAGTAGCAGTTGTCCTAGAACCCCAAATGTGTTCACAAATGGTAAGCAGACCTATTATTATCTAAAATAATGTTAAATAACACCCCATTTGCATAATGCAAATCATTTCAAGGCATTAGCACTTCAGAGAAGGTTAGAAAATTATTGCATATTTATTATAAAAGGTCGGATATAAATACGTGCCTATATACACACAGTCCAGGGAGGAGGTAAAATGCTCGGGGAACCAATCAGCTATTTGTAGCTATAGACGTGGCTCACAGGCCAGGTTAGTGTGGAAAGGGTACAGTGTAGGTGGGACCTGAAGTGTACCCCTGGCTGTGACACCACTGACTGGTGAACATTTACAACACTGTACCTGTTTGAACATTATAAAATGCATGCCAGCATTTCAACCAAATGTCTCATTCCCAGAGGCAATGTTCTCCTTATGTTGTACTCTACAAGAGTACTGTTTTGTTTGATTCTGTTAATCCTACACATCTTGGTGTAAGTTAAAGTGTAAGTGCTCTGTATAACATAGCAATAGACATCCAATTACACTACAACTGGTTTTCATGAAAACTTGTGTATAATTCTCCTGAAAGTGACAAAATACCTATTTTGACCAGTTTTGGCTTACTTGACCATCAAAATTACCTTTAAAGTCCAAGTTCAGGGTGGCATCCACCCACATATAATAATTCACAAAAAATAAATAATTTTGTATCCATTTATTTATCAAAATGCAAATTTAAGGCAACATACTTCCTAAACCTCCTTGCAGGGCCCGGGTCGGCACTTGAAGGGCCAGGGTCGGCACTTGAAGGGCCAGGGACGGGACTTGAAGGGCCCGGGTCAGCACTTGAAGGGCTCGGGTCGTTCCTTGGATATATAAACATAATTAGGTAAACCTATACAGTACAGGTTGACAATCCCTTATCCGAAATCCTTGGGGCCAGAGGCATTTCGGATTCGGAATTTTTCGGATGTCATAGGCCTAGGTCGTGTTTCTCACTTTTATCATTTTTCATTCTTGTATATTTCTTTATTATTATTAGTATTAGTATTATTTTATTAATACAGTATTATTGTTATTATTATTATTATAAATTTTATTATTATTATTATTATTATTATTGTTATTATTATTTTATTTTGGTGTATTTTTTAATTAAAATTTTTATTTACTATGAATAATTAGCATTAATATAATTATTACTATTATAATTAGTATTACTATTACATTTTCGCCCCCCAGGCCCCGATGTGGGTCAGTGATCTATTCCTGGGTGGGCTAATCCCTGTTTAAAAAAAAAAAAAAATGCTCCACAAAAAACTTTCGGTTTTCGGAATTTCGGATAGAGGGTTGTCAACCTGTACTGTATTAGGTACAAGTGAGCACAGTACAGCATGCCCTTAAAATTCGTAGGGGGTTAGGTTCTCAAAATGGTCACGAATCACCAAATCCGCTAATAACATTTGCTGACCAGGAAAGGGGGAGGGGGGAGGAGAACAATTTTACTTGTGTACTAAGAAATGTATATTCCCTTTATGTGTTTGTTCTTAGGGCAATTCTTTCTTTTAACTGTATTATACTGTATAAATGTGTGTGTGTGTGTGTGTCTATACACACACACACACACACACACACACACACACACACACACACACAAAACACACACACACACACACACACAAAACACACACACACACACACACACTACATCCTTGACCACCGAAGGGTCAAGACGTACCTGGCGCTCCTCTCGGAGCAGCCAGGTCAACTGTTAAGTTGGCCCATACCAACTCCCTCCCCTGAACCCTCCTCCCCACCGGAATATCTACAAGTTCTCGCCAGAAGTTACTATTTCATTTAGGAAAGGAATGGAACCAGTGTTAAACAGAGGTGAACAATGGTGAACAGTGCTTAAGTCAGTGAGAACAACTCAACAGTAACAGTCGCACCCAAGTTAACCTTCACACAGTGAGGTCCCAGGTACCCAGTGATAACGGCCCGTGAGACCCAACAACCAGCGATGTGTTAATCCGTCTACGATAGGAAGGCCTGGGACCACACCTCACTCATATAACACCGTCTGTGAGGGAATTACTACACCACGTGAGGCCCCGCATAACACCATCTATGAGGGAATTACTACACCACGTGAGGCCCCTCATAACACCATCTGTGAGGAAACTACTACACCACGTGAGGCCCCTCATAACACCATATGTGAAGGAGTTACTACACCACGTGAGGCCCCGCATAACACCATCTGTGAGGGAATTACTACACCACGTGAGGCCCCTCATAACACCATCTGTGAGGGAATTACTACACCACGTGAGGCCCCTCATAACACCATCTGTGAGGGAATTACTACACCACGTGAGGCCCCTCATAACACCATCTGTGAGGGAATTACTACACCACGTGAGGCCCTCATAACACCATCTGTGAGGGAATTACTACACCACGTGAGGCCCCTCATAACACCATCTGTGAGGGAAATTACTACACCACGTGAGGCCCCTCATAACACCATCTGTGGGAATTACTACACCACACCATCTGTGAGGGAATTACTACACCACGTGAGGCCCCTCCTAACACCATCTGTGAGGGAATTACTACACCACGTGAGGCCCCTCATAACACCATCTGTGAGGGAATTACTACACCACGTGAGGCCCCTCATAACACCATCTGTAAGGGAATTACTACACCACGTGAGGCCCCTCATAACACCATCTGTGAGGGAATTACTACACCACGTGAGGCCCCGCATAACACCGCATAACAGCTTTTCCTATATATTTCCTATGTAAACAGAAGGCCCTCTAAATGAAGGTGGGGGGAACAATCATGCATAGCTACATAAATATTACAAATTACACAATAATCATATGTCAGCATTTAGCCATAGGAAACAGTTTTCCTCAGGAATTTTTCTGAATAATTTTGTAATTTTCCAATTTTTGTCTTATTTTCAGCTGGACACTCCCCTTAAGCTAGGATTCCATTCACGCGGTTGCGATAGAGCCCCAAAAGATCATACTGAAATGTACATAGTTGTTTCCATTGGCATGGCATGATTGTGTTAGCGTTATGCGCTTCCAGTACATTTCAGTCAGTCCGTGCAGCGAGTGAAAACGCAACTGCATGGAAACGGAAGAGGGACTCCCACAATGTGATGTCACTAGTTCTTGCCATAGCTATGCAGTTCACAAATAAGTAATGGGAAATGAGACCAACTAAACAATTTAATTTTATACAGCCTTTATCTGCTGTGTTCTTAGAAAATTAGCAACTGTTTCATCAGTTCACTCAGTATATATCCCAACAAAAATACCTATTTGTGTAATGCATTTAGAAACCTTGTACTGTAAGTGGTCTTTAATCAGGTAAATAAGTATATATCATTTTACTATATCCATACATTTTTGACGCATTTGTTCTAAAATGAAAATTCATGGTCTCAATAAAAGCTTTTTTTGGAATACTTGTACAAATGATGTTATATAAAAACCAGGATAATTAATAGCAAATCATCCTGTTTATATAAATGGCGCCATAGCTTCAATGGGCTGGGAGCCATTTTTCCTGTCCTGTTCCAGCTGTATAGACAGATTATGCAACTGCAACAGGAAACAGGGGTGTCCATTTTCCAAGGCAATTTAACACAAAAGCATACTGTATATGGAATCCTAGCTTTAGACAAATTAGTGTATTACTGCCCATCACTGACTATACTGTACACCCATTGACAACTTGGAATTCTACCAACCCTTCCAATTCATCAAAAAGTCTCTACATAGCAACTTAATATTCTTAAGCACAAAAAAAAAAGATGCAAGAATTCATGGGTGATTAATAGAGAACCCACCCTTTGAGCTGACAGTCTGACCATGAGGCTTTTTGAAGCATCACCTCCATTGCTGTTATGTTTCCAGCATAGCAGGAATTTTTGTTCACTCTGTAAGTAAAAAAATAAAATAAAAGACATAGTAAAGTTTATTTAAATATACAGTTTTGAAAGCAGAGAATGTAACTAAAGTATGATACATGGAGGCAGATCCCAGGTTATCTTCTTGAAAATATCTCATAAACTGATTCATATTTACCCAAACACTTTCATTATAAAACAAGGAGGAGAAAAGAGGAGGAGAAACGAGGTTCAGGATAAACTTCCACATAACATCCTAAAATAGAAGACAAGAATTGTTTACCCCAAATTCCCAAAGCCAAAAAACTCTGAGAACCGAAGAAATTTCTAGACAGTAAAAGTGATGTCCGTTGGGGTAGATTGTAAGGCTGTAAGTTTAGTATTGTACTGGAAATACATTAAATCCCTGAGGGTCCGGACCCCACAAGTCCGGACCTTTTCCGGGCAAGAAACATTCGTCCAAACCCTTAAATATTTGTTGTCAGAAATTCCTCAAGTGATCATTTGAAATTGCCAGCAGCCATCAATCCCTTGCACACTTTATTCCTCTCGGACCTGTGAATCAGCAGTTTTAGTCCCCCAATCTTAAAATAAACTCGTCCATAATGCTGTACTGTGATTGGTTAGCTATAAGTTCAACACACATTAATCCAGAGAAAAATGGTATGATTTTAGGTAACAAAATTCAAACAATGGTGATGGTAATCCTCCTGGGAAGGGATAAAAAATCTACTACTACTACTACTTTGCTGTCACTGGTAATCGAGTATGACGATCATCCAGCTATGATAAAATTATACAAGTCATTAGGGATGACACCTTTGTTGCTGAGCACTGAGGAGACTAAAGAGGCCGATATGGGACTGTCATGGTCGTCCACAGATGTTGCACATATGGAGGGCTACATCTAGTGTGGGAGGGGCGGTGGCAGTGTCTTTCTGGCATTGGCGCTTGTCTGCCTCAGTATGCAGTCGGGCTAACACGAAAGTATTGACACCTTCTTGTGTGGTGCTCCTCCAAGAGTTACGGCATGGAGTGATTGTCTCCCAGGTGAAGGGGTCGATTTGGGACTTTTTCAGGTTTGTCTTAAGACTATCCTTATACCTTTTCAGTTGCCCACCAGAGTTACGTTTACTATTCGTAAAGTGACTGTAAAGTAGCTGCTTTGTCAGTCTACTGTCGTTCATGTAGGTAACAGGGCCAGTCCAATGTAGTTGTTCATGGATAATGATAGCCTTGATGCTCCTGCAGTTGGTATCAGCAAGAATACTGGTATTTATTCTCTTGTCTTCCCAGCGAACTCGGAGGATGGAACGTAGACTACGTTGGTGAAAGTTTTCAAATGCCTCGAGGTGCCTCCTGCATGTGACCCATGTCTCGCTGCCATATAGCAGGGTGGGGAGGACCACTTCTTTCGATGTATGTGCAACTTTGAAGATAATTGCAGATCCCTACAGCTGAAGACACGGATATGGAGTCTGCCAAAGGCTTGAGATGCACATCTGATCCGATGCTGAATCTCTTCATTTATGTCCACGGTGGTGGAGAGGTGGGAGCCGAGATACTGAAAGTGGGTAACATTAGCGAGGGTGGTACAGTTAGGATGAATGGATGGTGAAGGTGTGGCTGAACCAAGGACAGGCTGAAAAAGAATCCAAGTCTTACGTACATTCACCTCAAGGCCAAAGTGTGCATATGCATCTGCATAGGTGTTCAGGTCGCGTTCAGTGTGAGCGACAAAGGTGAGGTCGTCTGCATACTGAAGTTCTGTAATGGAAGCTGCCGACACCTTTGTTCGTGCCTGGAGTCATCTTATGTTGAAAAGACTCTTCATCCAGTACTGAATGTTCACTCCGCCGGCTAAATTGGCCCTGGCACTAGTAAGAAAGGCAGCCAAGAAAGTGAAAAAGAGAGTTGGTACCAGTACACATCCTTGTTTTACCCGTTTAGATGGGGAAGAACTCAGACTGGGTGCCACT